AAATGTTCCATGAATTAATTTCACAAAACATAAGCTTGAAAAATAAGTCAAGTCGAGTTGAACCTTAAAAATGAGCCTAACTCGATAAAACCAATGCTCGACTATTTTGCAGCCCTATTACATATGCCAAAATATAAATGCACGCACCTTCATAGTTCATACTTACATGCGTGGGCAAAAAAGGAATTTAAAGGAATTTTCCACGCTATACCAAAAGTAAGCATTGGCCACGAGATGGTTAAACATTGATGTGGACTTTGTTTTTTACCCACAACATTTTATCCAATGAATTGAATTTTACTGACTCAGTAACACGCAAAGTTCATCATACTTTGGTCACTGCTTTACAATAATTACAGTGTTGTTTATTCGCTGTTAAAGTGGTCCTATGTTCCTTGGTAAATTGTTGACAAAATAATTTACTTGAGAATTGAGTAATGGTAGTGATTTCTTTGTTTATTTATTTTTTTGTCTTGCAAATCAAGGCTTCTCAAATTTGGTCCACATTGTTGTACTAGCTTGGTTTGAGTAAATCCTAGACAGGCCTCAATGATGAATAAAAGACAATTATTTTAGGAAATTTTAGCTATTTGCTGGGTGTTTTTTTTATAAAAGATATTTTTTATGGGAAAATTTTTTAACCTCCAAAAGTATTCAATTCCTTTTTTTTCACAATTTATCATATAAAGTTTTAAAATTAACAAATTGTATCACTAATATTAAAATCTGAAATGACAAAAGCTTTACAATTTAATTAACTAATCATTTTGTATCGAACTTTAAAATTGATTCGTGACTTTTGAAATTCATGATGATACAAACAACTTGGTGCAAAATTTATTCGATTTCTAATAATTAATTCGACGGCGAAAAAATGTAGGTGACACTCATGCATTAAAGAAATTATATTTTTTTTTTAAAAATAATCAAGAAATCAAGTTTTAGATCGATAGATGTCATTGAAAAGCTTACAAGATGAGTTTTTTTAACAAAATGGATCTTAAGAAAATCTGACGATCGAATTTTGGTTGGTGAGGAATCGAACTTTTTTAAAAAATTATTTCAATATAGTATTTTTCCTCAACCCATTATTCAGACCTCTCGAGGCCGTTATGTATGAAAACATATAGCACATTCTGAAGATGACAATAAATGAATTGATAATAGTTAGGTGAATGAAAACGCAATTTGTTGAAAGTATAAAAATATCAAATATGTTCTTCCGTCAATGAAAATGAGAATTCAATGGGGGTGAAATGTACGGTAGTTGAAAGAAAAAGAATTTGTTTTTAAAAATCAAAGGAAAGCGAAAAAAGAGAAACTGTAAGAAAAAAAAAAAAGAAAAAAAAAGAAAAAAGAAGAATCTTGATTTCACTCATCAGTGAGAAAACAATACAGACACAAGATACGGCCTAACTTTTTGCTTCTCTTCTTGTTTTCTTCTTATAATTACTTGCCCACTTAGTTTTTTCTTCGCATCACATTCACACACCCTTATTTTTCTATCTCTGTCTCTCTCTCTCTCTCTCTCACACTGCGACAGACTACAGAGAAAGAGAGAGAGGAAGAAGAGAATGTACTCTCAAGGACCCTTCAATTCAGGCGGATAAACCGGTGTGCGTTTTTCATAGATCCAAGAGTAATTTTTTTATTCTGCTCTCTACTGTCTTTATTTTTTTGCATTTTTCTCTTCATTTTTTCCATTTTGTATATTTGGGACCTTAGTGTATATGAAAAAAATCCAATCTTGATTTTTTTTTTCTGCTCTCTACCATTATTTTCTTCCATTTTCCATTTTGTATATTTAGGGCCCTTGATGAATATGAAAAAAATCCAATCTTGTTCATGCTTTTAACTTCATTTCAATCTGAGAGTCTTGCTCTGTTAACTAGTTTGCTGCTAGCTGCAAATTTTTTTGTGAAAGGAGCTAGCTTGGTTCGAGTCTCTCTCTCTCTCTCTCAAATTTTGTTATCAAGATTTATGATTTCCATATGTTATTTTATTGCCCTTTTGTGTTTGTGTGATGAGGTTGTCAAAAAATCTTATTTTTCATGTCTGTAGTTTTAGTTCATTTTGGCTTATAGCTGTCTGTTTTGCTTCTTTGCCATGGCTGATCTGCACATTTTTAGCAAACTCTGGTTGTGTAATGATGTGGGCCCACGCCATTTGAGCTGTTCTCTTGCTCATTATCTGCTGCTTCACATATAGTTACATTAGATGCATATGCATTGTCTGTTTGCTGGCTTAAGGTAACAATTATCTTTGAGACTTGACATTTGGAAAAAGAGGNTTTTTTTTTTTTTTTCTTTTCATGAAATTGAGTGGGAATTTCTCTGTTGAAGTTGATTTGTTCTTTAATTTAGCTAATTTTATAATTTTACATGAGACGATGCTAGATTAAAAGGCTTTTGAATCAAGATATTCTTTTTAGATGCTGATTTGAACTTGGCTTATGAATTCCATCTAAAATGGCCAACCTAAAAAAAAATAAAAAAATCTAATTTTTAATCTAAACCTTGATTCCCTTAAACCTTCTTGCTCAGTCCTTACACATTTTCTTATTATTTTTTGAATATAACTTTGAAGGGTAAACAAAAATCTACACCAAAATGGAGGCATGTGACAAATTTCGAAAATGGGAAGAATTAATACCCGATGCACTTGGATTAATATTCAAGAATCTTACGCTACTCGAGATGCTAACCGTGGTGCCTAGAGTTTGCAAATCATGGGGAAAAGTTGTAAAGGGGCCTTACTGTTGGCAAGAGATAGACATCGAGGAATGGAGCAAGGGCTGCAAACCCGATACCCTCGACCGAATGATCGAAATGCTGATCACTCGAAGCTGTGGTTCACTGAGAAAACTTGCTGTTTCAAATCTCTCCAATGATCAAAGCTTTTTATTCATAGAAAAACAGTAAGAGTTTCTTTTTTTGTGCTGCTGTTTGTCATTTAACTTTACACTGCTTTCTGCAAAAAAATTCAATCTTGGAATCATTTTCGATCGTGGGAGGCATTTGCTATCACTAAAAAAGTTACACTGAACTGCAAAATGAAAGCCCTTGTTGCTATTTTTGCTACTCTTCTTCTGCATTCATTAGATTACAAACACTTTTAACTAAAATTAATTCTTTAAAAAAAAAAAGCGCTCAATCCCTGCGGGCCCTACGCCTCCCTAGGAGCGAGATAACCGACCCAATCATGGCGCGGGCTGCCATTTCTCTCTCGTCCCTCACTTCTCTCGACATCAGCTACTGCATACGGGTCGGGGCCCGCGGGCTCGAGGCCGTGGGCCGGGCCTGCAGGTTCTTGACGAGCCTTCGACGTGTAATGCACCCACTCGAGGTTGTAGGAAAGCCTTCCCAAGATGATGAGGCACTTGCGGTGGCGGCCAATATGCCTCGACTTCGCCACCTAGAGATTGCTTACTTGCTTGTTCGAACTCATAGTGTTGTGGAGATAATCAAGAATTGTAAGGATCTTGAATTGCTCGACGTTAGGGGGTGTTGGGACGTGAATTTGGAGGAGGGGTTTTTGAAGGGGTTCGTGGGGCTTAGGGTCGTGGGGCCCGTTGTCGTGGATTGTTACGATGTTTGCTCGGAGTTTTCGGGTTCGTCGGGGTATTTGGCGTGGGATTTTGTGGCGGGAGAAGGTTTGAATGGTGATGATGAGGATGATGATGATGATGATGATTGGTATGGGTATGATGATGATGATGATGTGTATGGTGGGATGATGGGTCATGATGATGATGATGATGATGGGGGGTCGATGGAAGATGTTGAGATGTGGTTTTACGACGATGTGGATGCGGTTGATGCGGGTTACGATTGGCCTCAATCTCCTTGAGAGGTTTATATAGATGTTTGNGATGATTTGTGGATATATAATTATATATATATGTTTGATTATGTAAGAGATGGTTTGGTTTTGTGTGTGAGTGTTTATGGGGGTGTGTTTTGTGTTGTTGCCAATGGCTTTTTACTTTGTGAAATTAATGTAAATTAATGAAATGTGAATTGGTGGTGTTTGCTGCTGATTGTTACCTTAGATCAGTGTTGTTCACTGTCTATGTTGATTTGTGAGACTGGTTTTTGCTCTGTTTATGTCTTCTTGAATTTGTTTGAAAGGAAAAGGATAATATATATCTTGATATAATGTATATCTTGATAAGATAAATAGAAATGTCAACACATTATGTTCCCTCGAAAATTCTAATGGGTTTGGCCTTTTGGGGCCTTGGTGGAGGATTTTATCATTTTTGACCGTTCGATCATAATACGTAAATATTCGTTCAAATGTGTATTGATTCAACGGTGAAAAGGAAATCAGTTTGGGCATATTTGAGAAATACTTGAAAAATGTGCTGCAAAAGTGCAGCCCTTTTTCTCCAGTCTCTGATAACTGTGCTTTTTCACTCTTATTTTTGTACTTTTCACTCTTCTACCCCATACTCGAATGATTAATGTAGTTCAAAACTTCAAACTTTTTCTTCCCAGGCCAAGAACAAATAACCAACTGAAATTACCCATGTGAAAATCTATGCATTTTCGGAGATGTGACAATGAAATTTATTCTCTTCATTTGCCCCAAATTTCAAATAAATATTCAATTTTATTTCTGCAAAGAAGATGGCCACTTAGGAAAAAAAAAAGAAAAGAAAAGATAAATTGTGATTGCTGGCACATTGAATTACAAATATGTTCAGATCCTCACAATAAGTCAATAATTAGTCTCCCAAATTTGTTAAAAAGTTTCAACTTCTTATGCTAATTTGTGTCTACAGATGAGAAAACAGTGCCTCACCAAGTTTTTTTACCGTTGGATCCAACACACTCACATGACGGTAAAAACTCGATAGAGATTAGTATGTCGGATCATTAATCTCAATTCAATTGTTGCCTATTGGACACTTTTTACCTTCCATGCTACTTTTTGCACTACTTGTACTTTAAAGTTGAGATTATTTTCAACAGCCACAGGCAAGAATGTCAACATGTCTGTTTCATAGGAAATATTTAGTGTACGGATCAATCTCAGCTTTGAAAAACAAAGAACCGAAATGAAGTCAAAAAAGAAAGAAAGAGAAAAACAAATAATGAGATGAGGATAAGTTTGCATGCAAATGAGACTAAAGTCATGAAAAAGTCTTTAGATAAATCATTCTGTTTGATATAATTACATATAAAACTGTACAAGAGACTTTCTGAAGGAAAAAGGAGGAAACAAAAAGGATCAAAGAAATGAATTGTTATGCAAAATTTTGAGGGGTAATATCTTTCTTCAAATGAATTTAGTGAGTATAACCAAATTACCAAAACAATTTGAAATTCCATCACCTTTTTTTTTTTTTTTAAAGAGGATCAATAGTGATTCCCCACTTACTCCTTGGGTGACTCGAACTTGTAACCAATACCCAATAGATTTCTAAAATTTTACAAATGGGTGGTCTTAAACAAAATTTCCAAGGCAAATGGAACAAGAACATCATCATTATAAATTATAAATTATAAATCTACTAAAGATTTCAAAGTTAGGGAGTTTTAGATGAAAATGCCATTCGATATCCATTCTCATCTTCAATAATGGGTGGCATTTGCCACGTCCCAAGAGAAGAACCGCATGTCTTCCCACCTTAAAAGGGTTTTAACCAAGATGGAGTTACAATGTGACAAAAAACGGGTTATTAAAATTTATAACAGGCATAGCTTATACATAAATCCGGGGTTTATAAAGAGGGAGCGTCACCTTCTTTAGTAGCTTCTTCACATCTTTGCCGGTATTTGCTAGACAGGTCTGAATCCAATGCTTTACATAACTGATCATACGTTTTTTCTGCTTCGGTTATAAATTTTGCCTACAGAAAGAAAAAAATTAGAATCTGGTATATAGACAATTAGTTAAAAACATATGTTGAGTTTGCCGTTAAGCACTCACCAACATGATTGGTGCTGCATAAGCTCCATAAAATTTGACAAACATGCGCAGAATATTAAAATTGTTCTCCACAATATCGTCCTATGGAAAAAAGTGAACTTTTAACAAGGATGCATTGGACAAGCAAGAAAGATACAACAACAACAACATAGCCTTTAGTCCCAAGCAAGTCGGGGTAGGCTAGAGATGAAACCCAAGAGAAACACAAAAAGACTCGAACCAAAAGGAAGAGATAAAAACAGAGAGAGAGAGAGAAAGGAGCAAAAGTCACGGTTCTGGCACGTTGATAGCGAGCCTCCAAGCGCTCCTATCCACCGCTAAATCCTTGGAGATATTCCAATCTCCAAGGATGCATTGGACAAGCAAGAAAGATAAAACAAACTAAATGCCAAAATGAAAAAGGAAAATAAGAGGAAAGAGAAACAAAAGGAGTTAATAGAGGCTCACCTCATAATCAAACCTGCGGCAGAATATGATTATTCATCAGCGAAATACTTCATAAGTGTCCAAATGCAAAATGAAATTGAAATGTAAAGTCTCCCATAAATATTTTGAAATCATATACTCAACATGTAATGATAAAGAGTTTGGAGTAAATTGAGCTAGATAAATAACAACCGATATTTTATCATTTGTAAAACACAAATTTTTGTTTTTGTCGGCCTACCTGTCGGGCGGGTCAACCCATCATATATTTTTTTTTACCAAAAGTGCGTAAAATGCATGCATTTATCTATGTTGTTAGAACGACATTTCATTTTGAAGGTATGATATCTGTTTAAAAAGTAAAAGTAGTTGCAGTATGACTATCCAACCGTTGGTCAGCCTTGTTCAGAAAAAGAATNAACGAAGCAATTTTAAGCCTCCTCATGATTTCAATTTCAATTTCCGAGCTAAAACATATTAATTGAAAATTTAATAATTCCTGAAATGACTAATACTATATATAAGACTACACCTACTTCTCATATTAACGGTCACACAAATGTACAAGTTGTTGAGAATAAGAATTGCTTACAGATCATCAGATATTTCCACAAGCAATTCTGAGATCGAAAGGAACTCCATATGCAATTCATTCACCTAGCTTCAAAGAAATTCCAGTGAACTATATCATATCACAATGATAAATTTCATTTTCTGGTTAACAATATAAATATTCTATTGGGACATATAAGCTGTATTTAACAAAAGATTTTATTTTCTTTTCTCCATACTAAAACGAATAAATTAGTTATATTCTGGTATTTGTTACAAGGGATGACATATATAGTGCGCAAAGCAATAAAATATTCAAGACCATAAGCACTAAATAAAACTTCCTTGCAGCATATATTCTTCTGTATTCATATTATTTTAACAAAAGAATGAATAAATCACTGAAAAGAAAGAACACAACGACGTACTTAATAGGATACCTTTTCTCCCCTTAGTTGGTATAATAGAAGATTCAGCACTCTATAATCAAATGATTTCAGATGGATGGCCTTCTTCACATCCTCAATGCATATCTACACCGTTTTCAATCAGCATAAACCAAGAACACACTTAATAAATAAAAAAATAAATGGGAATGGGAGAAAAACAGTAACATAAACAAAAAACAATGATGGAGAATTTTGTTGCCATACTGGCATAAGTGTGTAGTTATTTTACCACTGAAATATTTTCTTTTCATATATGGTTATATCTACTTGATCAACAAATGAGAGTTCACTAACAAATATGGAACCGTTGCATTGTTTTTTTTCACTGAACAATAATTATTACATGGAAAATGAGAAGTGTTTGAAATTAAGTGAAGTAAGATGATACCTCCTTGTTGCTCGCCAGTGCCCAGCATAGCTTTCTCTCCAGAGCCCAATATTCTTCCCCATACCTTAACTCTTCTATAATCCTAAGATTTATAGAGCAAATCAAAAATTAAAAATAAAAAAACTTGCTAAGGATGTCAACATTTCCATTGTGTGGGGAAGTATAAATTCATTAAAAAGGAAAATATAAAAAATACATGAGATTCAATATATGAACCTCTCAGTCAGAAGCCCTCGCTGTTCTAATACATAAAGGAGTGGTCTAAAGGGATCTTTCTGGAACATTCTTACAGATTTAGCACCAAGCTTTGAATTGTCATCCTGTATTTCAGTGAAAATTGGAAATCCATCCCCTGTCAACTGAACTAGTTCCTCGTTTAAGCCATCCAACTGTACCATACCACCAAAAATTACGTCAAAATGAGGATACAAGAATGAATTACAATCTGGTATCTAATTACATGTTTTTCTAAAGCAAGAAAGAAACTAAAATTTACAAATGATTGTGTTTTATGAAACCGAACACATATATTTCTTACTGAACAATGCCTTTTAAATGTTGTCAATAACAAAAGCAGATGCGAGAAAACGGGACTCTTCAAGAAAATTTACCTGATATATGTAACTCTCTGTGAATGAAAGCATGGGCAGATATTTGAATACTGATTGAGGCTCGTTCACTTCCATTTTGTGAAACATAAAATATGACCTGCACTGTTCAGTTACATATCAGCATCGATGACGATGCTTTTTCTTGAACAAAACTTTCACAACCAAAGATATATAATGCACAGTTAGAAACAGAAAAAATAACTTTCACTATAAATCGCCCAGACAAATTAAAATATGTCTTACAAAATCCTCTAACGTTGAATTCGAACGCATCATTGCTTCAATCCCGACCATTGCAACATCATCACAGAAACTCCGAGCGGAATTTATGTTTGTTTTCTTGTCACCACAAATTTGTAAAGCATTTCCATTCTGTTTGCAATCTGCAAACTCACAGGATTCAGAAGCAAGATGGAGCAGAAGCAGATCTTTCAATGTTCATTATAAAACAAGACGAGCCACTTAAAAACATTGATGAAGGCATCCCACAAACAAAACCATACAGGAATATGCATCGCACAACACCAAAATTAACAATCCTGTCGAAAGCTATATATCACGAAAATGCACTGAAACCCACTAAACATTACAATTTTATTTTTTTTTCCGCATTAGTTCTTTCATCTGGGCATCATCACGACATCTAGCCATTAGAACCAGCAGTTTTCCATAGAAATGTCACTTGATAAAAACACAAAAGAATTCATAGATGTTGACAATACCTTTTCCTTCGGATTGCAGTGCACCCTCACTGAACATACTCGCTATCTTGCGGGGAGAAGAAGAAAAGGGAAAAACGCAAAAGGGTCAGATAACCTTGAGGGCACAGAAAACTGTAAGCAAAGTGAAGAAAAGGCAAACCTTTGACATGTGTTGGGAAATCAATTGGCATTTCAAGGAGATGTCGAGCTCACCACAAGGTTGCGTCTACAGCCCATTTGTATTGAATCACAGAATGAAGCGATTAACATTTGAAAGGAATAAAAGGCGCACAGAGGAAACAAAAATGAGGGAAAATACATTAGAACGCGTGCAAGAAATATGAAAAGCATAAGGAGAGAGAGTTGGTTACGAGGAAGAAGGTGAAATCAACAAGAAAGCGTTCGCAATTGGGATTGGCATCGGAAATTCCAGCTGAGCGCAGCTTGTCAATCGTCCGGTGGACTTGTTCCAGCTTCTCTAGCCCTTCCATTTCTATTGTAGCCATTGTTGTGTGCAAGACTGCAGTCTGCAAGTGAACACGATATAAAAAGTATTAATATTATATGACCAAATATAATAAGCATAAACTTTTTAAGTTATTACTATATATTTTAAATAATTATGAAAGTAAAATACCGAATATGATGACCACACTCAGTGTAGTTTTCAGATTATAAGCATAAACACAACTTATTATACTTTAACTAAAATACGATATTAATATGTAACTTATAATTTATTTTTTGTGCATACAAATTACTTCTAATACTTTATTTACTGCACAAATACTAGTGTTAAGTAAAAATATGTTCACCTCTATTTACAGTTAAATGAAGATATGTGGTTTGGGACCCATTTATCCATTTCCAATTCAATTATCACTTTCATCTGTTACCTATATATACCTACTTGGTTTTTCTCTCTAAAATCACCAGACCAAGACGTACAAATTTTATTTTCTCTTTACAGTCATGTGGGATTTTGTATTGTCAGAGACAAAGGATGAACATTTCCAGTTTATACGAAAAGACTTTTCAAATAAATGGCTTCCAACAACTGGAGAATCATTTTGTACCATCCTTCTACATTTCATCTAGTCTGAATGGTTGAACACTGAGGATGGCGTAGTTACGGCATTTCACTGAATTTACTAAAGTTGTTTGGTTGAAATTGGTCAAAATTTGACTTTTAAATAATGCTTTGTCACGTTCATGGCCTTGAAAGACAGGTATCGACCAGATATCGTTTGCAGGTTATTTAGGGCAAAACTTAAGGGAATGATAAAGGATTTTCGTGAGAAACAAATCTTTGGGAAGGTTACTGCAGGTCAAACACTTACTATAAATTTTATTTTGTATACTAATATCATAATTTATTCTTTATTAAAAAAACAATCCAATACGATTATTTAGTAACCATAATTTATTCTTTATTATGTTGTGCCCCATAATCGTCGTTTGCTCATGAAATATGGCGCACATGTTAACGTTGAGTGGTGCAATCAATCACGATCCATAAAGTACTTATTCAAGTATGTTAACAAAGGAAATGATCGTGTGACTGCATCATTCTATCAAACTTCTGCTGATGGAGATGTTGAAAAGCCGCTGGATGAGATCAACATGTACTATGATTGTCGTTATGTGTCTTCTTGTGAGGCTGCTTGGAGATTGTTAGATTTTGAGCTGCAGTATAAGAGGCCAGCAGTACAACATTTAAGCTTTCATCTTAAAGATCAGCAGAACATAATTTTTGAAGATGATGATGATTTGGAGGATCTTTTGAATAAACCAACAGTGAATGCGAGCCAATTTCTAACTTGGTTTGAGGCGAATAAGAAGTACCCAGCGGCCAGGGAGCTAACTTATGTGGAGTCAACGTCATTTGGAACGCAAAAACTAGAGAGTGGACTCCTCGAATAAGAGATGGAACAATTGCCCGTCTACACCACGTGAATCCTGGCTGTGGTGATAATTACTATTTGAGGTGTTTGCTAAATGTTGTTCGCGGTGCTACATGCCACGAGGACTACATGAAAGTATCAAAATTATCGAGATGCCTGCTACGAACATGGATTGTTAGATGATGATAAAGTATATAGACGGTATAACCGAAGCAAGTCATTGGGCATCTGCAGAGTCTCTTAGGCGTATGTTTGCGTCATTATTGATTTCTGGCTCTTTGAGTAGACCTGAAGACGTATGGGAACAATGTTGGATGTTATTATCTGACGACATTCTATACAGACAGCAACGATTGTTCAATAACGATGGTAATTGTGTTTTTTATATCATTCAATATATATAGATTATTTTTTTACATAAAAAATACAAACTATCAATTATTACATTGTGTAACCATTGCTTCTCTAAATTATTGAATTTTTCAACTTCCAGATTTGCGGCTCAGTGAAGATGCTATAAAGAATCTCACCCTTGCTGAAATTGAGACTCTTATGCGAATTTGCGGCTCAAGTCTTCGTGAATATTCATTCATGCCTTATCCGGACAGTGGTAGTATGCATAACACTTCAAACCGCCTTCTATTGGATGAGCTTAATTATGATCGTAGCGCGCTTGCTGCGGAACACGAAGCACTTCTTGGGAGAATGACCGATGAACAACAAGGAGTTTATTCAAGAATTATGTCCGCTGTTGATTCAGGTGCTGGTGGAGTATTTTTTGTATACGGTTTTGGAGGTACTGGAAAGACATACTTGTGGAGAACTTTGTCTGCGGCATTGCGGTCGAAGGGTAAAATCGTTTTAAACGTGGCATCGAGTGGAATTGCATCGCTCTTGTTACCTAGCGGAAGAACTGCACATTCTCGATTCCGAATACCCATTAGTCTTCATGAAAATTCTTCTTGTGATATTAATCAGGCAAGTCCTCTTGCGAAGCTGATAATGAAATGCTCTCTAATCATATGGGACGAGGCGCCGATGATGCACAAAAATTGCTTTGAGGCAGTTCAAACATCACTGCAGGGTATAATGGGAGTATTAGACCCTTCGAATAAAAGCAAGCCCTTCGGAGGCAAGCCGATTGTCTTTGGTGGAGATTTTCGACAGATCCTTCCAGTCATTCGAAAGGGGAGTCGCCAGGACATTGTCAATGCATCTATTAATGCACCCAGCATTTGGAATGACTATACTGTGCTCCGGCTTACGAAAAACATGCGTCTTCAGAGCATTTCCGATTCGGATGAGCATGACGAGGTGGCTGCATTTGCGGATTGGATTGCGAGTATTGGAGATGGTACTATAGGAGGATCAAATGATGGTTATGCCGCGATTGAAATTCCAGATGATATAAGACTGGATCCATCTAATGATCCAATTGCTGCGATTGTAGAAAGTACTTATTCAATGTTCAAGAACGCAACTAACGATCCGAGTTATTTGAAGAATAGGGCTATATTAGCTCCCACATTGGAAGTTGTTGAGTCAATCAATCAATACATGTCAGATATGAATTCTTCTGAAGGTCGTACGTACTTGAGCTGTGACAGTACTTCTAAGTCGGATTCTGGCAATGATTTCTTGGCAGATCTCCACACGCCAGAATTCCTGAATAGCATAAAGTGCTCTGGAACTCCCAATCATAAGTTGCATCTGAAGGTAGAAACTCCAGTAATGTTGTTGCGCAATATGGACCATTCTATGGGACTGTGTAATGGGACGAGATTGGTTGTGACTAAACTCTCTACTCATGTTCTCGAATGCAAGATATTGACGGGAGATCACGCTGGAGAGAATGTGTTGATTCCTAGAATGAATATCACTCCATCTGATACTAGGATTCCATTTAAGTTCCAGCGGCTACAGTTTCCACTTGTGATTTCGTATGCGATGACCGTAAACAAGAGTCAAGGACAGTCTTTATCGCAGGTTGGTCTATTCCTGAAGAAACCGGTTTTTAGTCACGGCCAATTATATGTTGCTGTTTCACGTGTGACTACTAGAAGAGGGTTGAAGATATTAATTTGTGATAATGAGGAGTTACCCAATAACCAAACTCATAATATTGTGTACAAGGAGGTTTTTAATAATATATGATTGTTTCGTGACGAAACAATCCTTCTTTTTGTAATAATGTTCCTACGTATTATAATTATTTCGATCCTAATTCATGCCATATTTTATATTCTCCAAAATTTTACATTCCGTGCAACGCACGGCTTTGCACTAGTAATAATAATAATAATAAAGAAAAGATACGTGGCTCCAGCATGGCCCGTCCAAAATGGGAAAATTGGGCCAGCAGTGGATTAATCCACATCCCATTTGGATGAATTTTTTTTCGGATTCTCCCATTTACAAACACACCCTTAAGGGCTTGATTCTTTGTGAAATAATTTGTTTAAAATGAGCTATTTTGGTTAATCATAGTTAATTTTAAAAAATGTGGTATAATAGTTGTTAGTGGAATTTTAAGAATGAATTAAAATAATATTTAAAATAAAATAATTAAAATTGATTTGATGTAAAAGTAGAAGATAAATGATTGGAAATAATTGAAAATGATAGGTAGTTAAAATCATGTGAGTAGATGAATAGTAAATTAAAGTTAATGTGATGTGTAGAATGATTGGTTTGTATTATTTAATTTATATAAATAATATTAAGAGAAAATTACTCTATACACCATAAATTTCAGTTTTTAGTACACAATTAAATATCTATTATAAATATTAGCAATTTTACCCAAATTCATGTTTTTATTTGTAGATATACTAGAAAATAATGTAATCATCAGTTACAGATTTTTAAGGAAAGCCTCTTTATCTTTATCTCTCTTCTTCGTCGCTCTCTCCCCCCTCCCTCTCTCTTCTTTTTCGTTATCTCAACTCCTCATCTCTCTCTGTCAACGACCCATTATCCTCTTCTACTCCTCTCTTCTTTTTTTTCAATTGTGATCTGCGCAATCATTTAAATATAATCGATATCTGTAGCCCCAACGATGTGCAACAAATCTAGAGGAATCAGAGGGACACGCTTGGGCGCGGCCACATCCGGTGGCGCACGTACTTCGTCGCCCTTCAGGGCGGTTGCTGGTGACAATTAAACAGGAAATAAAAATTTCAGATGAAAAGTGATGAAGAAAAAAGAAACAGGAGAAAAAAGAAGACGAAAAAAGAAGGCGAAGGCAAACAGAGTCGTCATCGGTCCGAGCAAGGATTTCGAATCGGGCTAGGTTGTCGCGGGCATGACCCGGGGACCCAACAGGGAGATACTGGAGGACGAACGCAAATGACAGATATATTGAAACTTTTGATTATGTTAAGTATATGTTATGTATATCACACGATTATGTTATGTATATGTGCATGAATGATATACTTACAGTTGTTTTTAAGACTGTGTATATGCGATATTTACATATTAAGTATATAACACGAATATATTATGTATATGTGCATGAATAATATATTTACAATATCTTGATTTTGCAACTTTGTAGTTGTTTTCAAAACTGTATATGCGATGTTTATATATTGTATATATTTTGTAGCGTTAGCTCATCACAATCGTTTGATTTCGACACAAAGAAAAAAAAATAAAATAAAAAATCACATTAAACCAGAAAATTTACTGTAAATATATGAAAAAACGCGAGATGTAAATAACACAAAAAGTAAACAAAGAACAAATTTTCGAAAAAAAAATACCGGGTTTATTTTGTATATATCACATTGAACCAGAAAATATCTAGTAAATACACAAAAAAAAAAAACAATATGTTAATAACACGAAAAGTAAGTAAAAAAAGAATTTCGAAAACAAAAATTACCAGGTATAATTCGTATACTTTACGGGCTTATATCATTATGATTTAATGATATTCTTGATCGCGTTGCTTTGTGTATCGTTAGAAGATGATAAAGTTTAAAATTCAGAATATATATCTTTCAATTTTGAATTGACCAACTTCCTAGATATTAGGATATACACTTATCATATCTTTTTATTTTTCTAATGCTAAAAAAATTGAAATCTCATTATTTCCGTGGATTAAGGAAGGATTATCTTTTTAATTTGGTAACTGATATGTTCCATTATCACTAATAAATACCATGCATTTGGTAATGATGCAATAAAAGATTATCCTCTCGTATGATTGCAATTAAGCACAATTCGTTGTGTAAGTATAAAATTTATCCTAATATAAAGATAGTGGGGTTGAATTAAAGTTGAGTTACATTTTGAGTATGAAATAAAGTTAAATAATTATTTCATAAACAATCAAGCCCGAATCTCTCGATGTAGAACTTTGGTAAAAAATATTTTTTTAGTCAATTACTGATATTTTGTAATCTCCCCATGTAGAACTTTGGTAGTTTTATTTTATGTTTGTATTGTGTTGTTGAATCTATGCTACATAAACATTGAATAGATTTTTAAATTTAGTTCGGCAGTATAGAACTTTTGAATCAATTATTTATGTTGGAATTTTTCGTTGGAATTCAACCTCATTTTTGTAGTGATAGTTTCTATTGTGTATTTATTTATTCATTTTTTTTTTCAATGGCCAGTTTTCTGATTAATCTCATTTATCACTACACAAGAAAAAAAATATTGAAAATAATTAATAGGATACAAAACATGTTTAGCTAATCTCCGATATCCTTTTCCATTCCCTTCTTTCTTCCTTAATTCTGCTTTCATCTCTCCATACTCTCCTTTAAAAAAACCCACAAAAGGAAAAATACAAAATTGTTCAAAGTCCAAACCAACCACAACACAGCCAAATCATTGTTTTCTCTCTCTTTTTTTTTTCACCTAACAATACAATAACCGATCTTTCAAACACCAGGAAAAAATTGAAAAAAAAGGAAACAATGCATTCTTGCTTCACTCTAAATTTGTTCTCTTTCTTCAAGAGGCAAGAACACTGTCACTCAATAAGATGGAACAAAGAGTTCATTTACCGTGGACAAACAAATAAGCCATCAAAGGTCTCATCAGCCTCACTTGATTTGGTAAAAAAGTTTTTTTTTAATAACAATTTAGGGCCTGTCATTGCTGGTTTCTTCCTGTAATGCACGACTTTCAATTTGATCTATTTCCAGATTGGCTACACTGTCCACTGGTGATGAATTAGTTGACTCAGATGCTTTCTGATGTTGACTTTTTACACGATCAGTCTCCCACAGCTTCCCAGCTTTCCCGATTGCGAGAATGAGCTCGAGCTGTTTTTGTTGTTGCTCCTATTACATGAACACATGCCAAAAAAGGAATGGTAAGCCGATTAACAACTAAATATAAATGGAATGGATCTATACATATAAAAATGGCTGAAATTAAAAAAACTGCAGCTCCGAAAGTTACGAGGGCAGTTTTCAATATATACATTTTCTTCTGCAAAGAAAATGCACATAGAACTAGACTAAGGGCATTCTTAAATCTAAAAACATCTTAATTCGTCTTATCCTTCTATGGAAGATCCAAAAGGGAAAAAGGAAGGATAACATCAAAGCATCGCTAGCTAGCACTTTATCCGGTACACTAAAACTGCCAACAAGAATGCATGTTATGAGATTCAAATACCAAAAGTCTGTACAAATATAACAGCAAGCCAAATTTATACGTGTTATCAATAAATAATTTTACATAAGATGAAATTACAGGCAACGGGACAAACACTTTGGATCTATAAGAAGATAGATGTCGTGTAGCACGTTTAACTACAAACATTATCTTTACCGACAGAAAAAACAACACTATAATTCAATGGAAATATAAGGGCAACCAAAGAGGACAGACACACATCTTCTGAGCCTATGCTAGCATGAAACAGAAGTCCACAAGGCCTTTTGCTCTCAGAAATTAAATACTCCTAACTTGATTTCTGCTGTTTTCACATATACTTTGGAGGAACGAAATATTTGGTGATCCCGAATTAATAATTCTTGTAACTTTTTTCTGAACCTCTCAAAACAACATATCTTTCTTCCATAAATAAAAGCTTCCACCACTGTCTGCCCTCATTTATTACTTACTATTTCAGTAGACATCTAAAACCCCATACCTAATCAAGTAGATACCAAAGTATTCTTTGAAAGACAAACCCTGCACAGGAGAGGCTCAATCAAAACCAGTTTCCATGAATAAGTAGATTATGGTCTTTATTATGAGACTCGGTCGAAAAACAGCTAGAACAAATAAGGGAAATTCCTGCATAGTGAGGCACATATTTCCTCAGCAGATGATAACAATGATCAATAATATTAATTTAATAATATTTCTACCTGCATAGCCAGAAGAACCTTTTGAATTTCACCAAGCTCCTTCTCAAGAATGTCTTCTTGTGCTGCTAACACACGAGTGGCCTCCGAGTTCTTCTGGACCAATGCTGCAGTCTGAAAACATATAACAAGATTTATTATTTTTCTTTCAATTTTTTTTTTTGAAGTTTACCCCAGCACATATTAGATGATAACCGTATGTATGATCCATTTAAAGGTCAAAATTCAGATCTTCGTTTCAAACAACAATCGCGAAGGGGCCAAGATGTGTAAATCATACATATTCCACAACTCCATTTCTATTATTCTCAATTACTCATGTACCATTCAACTTCACATGAATTCAAATTTACGGCCATCCAAATTCTCAATAAGATTATATTCCGTGAAATCCAGTTATGCAACTGGTTTTTCCAACAAAAATTCAAATACACTATACTTCAATCCCAATTTAACTTTCCATTGGTATATATAATATAACCCCACAATCAAGGATCAATAATTTCAACAACCCACAAGCCCAAAGAGTTAAGCTTCCAAAATGTGAACCCAAACCATATGAAAATTACCTCAGCAATCGGTTCCTTGAGTGCCTTCCGGGTGACCCTGAACCGAATCCCCAGCTTCTCGAGCCGCCTGGCCAGAGCCTGAACGATGGTGGCCGAGCCCCGCAAGTCCTCCTCCAACCTCTCGACCCTCTCCAACAGATTAGAATCCCCATACGTAGACGAGCTCCTCGAGGACCCCACACCACCGCAGACCCTTCTCCACTGCCGCCGCCGTATCGCCGCCCCGGCCGCCAAGCCGGTCACTAGCACCACACACTGCCACATCGCAACCCTTCCACCCAGAAACCCTAAGTCTCCCGCGCCCTTCTGTACCACCCATCTCACGGCGAAGTAGACGGAGACCGCGGCCGAGGAAGCGAGGCTGAGGAACTCGAGGGCAGAGAGGAAAGCATCGAGATTTCCGCCGCCGTCTCCGGCGACCTGCGGCGAAGATTCTCCATAAAAGGCATGGATTTTCGCGACGGGGAGGCGGGAAGGTTGGGTCGGGAAGAATCTTCTACAGCCTGGCGATTGAGTTTTTGAGTCGGGAAAAGGGAGAGGGAATCTATTGGGGGATCTCGAGAAATGGGTCGGGAACAAGGCCGGGTTCTTGTTTGGGAAGATGGTGTCTAGTGAGAGCGCCATTGTTGTATAGTTTGAAGCTGACATTGCTGATTAAATGGCCCCTCAATCAGTAGTGAAATTCATCAGCAAGATCGCGTTGAGTTTCATGGTTTTGCAACAGACTAATCAACCATCGATTTCATGTGTTTTTCTGTTGTGGTGACTGGTGGGTAGCAGTTTTCGGGTCGGGTTCTTGCCTGGGTCCGGACCCGGCCTAGGATGGCCCTGCCCATCTGTTAGGTTGGTAATTGGGCCTGTCGAGTGGAGAGCATTGGTACAAACTACACAGCGGTAAGTAGGGAGTAGTGGCCCATCAATAACAGAATTGAAAAGGTACTCCCTTTACCTTCAAATTTCATTTATATATATATATATATATAAAATTTTATTTGAATACACCAAGATTTACACTTTGTGAATAATTTATTTTAATTTATTTTTTCACGAATTTTCAATTACATTATTTTTATTTATGACTAGTTTATGAATGATTTTATTTTGAACGTTGTATTTTAGCTAAAATTTTCAAAAAGTGTAGTAAATATATAAAATAGCCATGAAATTTACCTCGAAGATTGGGTTTCTAATAGTAGTGTCTGTGCGTTTGAGCGTAGGTAGAGCTGTAAGCAAAACAAACCAAGTTCGAGCTGAAGCATTTATCGAATCAAGCCAAACATGGTTTATTAACAAATCAAACTTATGGATAAGCTTAAACTCAACTTGTCAAATCTTAAAAAGTAAGCCGGGCCGAACCCACGAGCGGCACCATTATTTAACAGCTCTAAGCACAGGTGATCAGGACTTCAAAGTTGAGAACACTACATAACTAACTGACATTTATCCACATAATTAGCAAAAATTAAATTACTTCTAAACTAATTAAAACGAAAAATGACAAGGTTAACAATAATATGCAAAATACAACCCGTCTTGAGTCTTGACTAGAGATGAAATATAGGTCGTAGAAACCATTTTCACTTCAAAAGCACATAAAAAAACATAA